CAGGGACGTTTGGCAGAGATGCGATATTTTTCGCCCTTTTCGCAGACGACGATCCATGTCTGATAAAGTATTGCGGTGTGGGAAGAGAGTGCCAAGTCTCCGCGGACGGTGAGGAGCTCGTCGCTGGGTGCGTCTGCATTCATAAATGCGCGCGGAGGCATCGACCGGTCTGTGCAAGCAATGGCAGGGTGTACGTCAATCACTGCGAGATGCATCGCGCGGCCTGCAACGCCGACACTCCGTTAAGCACCCGAAGGCTCTCTAGATGCCTCAGCAATGGTGAGCACGTGCTCGACAGTGCATAGCTGCTTTCCAGGAGGAGAAACGGCGCGCCCAATGATTGAAAATCATTGTTTCCATTTTTGTTCAACATTGGCAAATAACTAGGATGTAATGATTCATTGCGCCACAATGTGCCTCATCTGTGTCTCTTGCTGAAAAGCAGACTACGTATCTCTATCTTGCACAGTACAGAAAGCTTGCGCACACGTGGAGGAAATATCTCGGATGGAGAGCAATGCGTTATACATTATGTATTTTATTTCTGATTTTAATCGATAATAACTGATATTCATCAGAAAAATTTAGGAAGATACAGATTTTTGTTACTGACAATTGAATATTTCGTATATATTTTCTGATATCACGTAGTATTGAAGAATTAACCGTTTTGAAATAAAATCAGTTATTTTTGTCAGTAATAAAAATCTGTATCTTTCTAAATTTTTAATTAAATATTGGTGATGATAAATATGAAAGGTAAAACAAGATTTTCCACTGGCTTGAAATCAATTCTTGTATTTAGTGAAATAGAGACGGAAATAGAAGAACACTGGGGTTTATCGGCCCCGCGGCGTGCATTGAACTCTATCTATATTTAATATTTCAATCATCCGTATCTAGCTAATTATTAGATTTAATTTAATTTTATTTAATTATCTAGCAAAGATTATAAAAAAACCAAGCTTCTTGATAGCAATTGAATAAAATAAATCAATTAATGCATCATTAGCTGTATTTTCAGATTTTAATTGTAAATTATTAATGCAATTGGAATTCTATTAGAGACAAGATATGTCACTACATTATAAAGAAATATAAGTAATTAATCGTGCGACTTTTAATCTATAACTTTTTAATTAATCATCAGTAAATTAAGTTTATAAGCATAACAGCGTATAAATCTCATAGGACATCAAATAAAGATTACCCAAATCTTTGCCGATACTTTTAACTTTAATTCATTGTTTACTCTAAAGGAAAAAGAAACCACGAGCGGACTCACAAAACTTTGGTTTCATTATGAACTCAATAATAACTTAAAAGTTTTCTATTAATTTATAGCAGCCGCGCAGCAGTCTAGTTTGTTAAGAGTTGTAACGATAAAAAAAAAAAAGAGATGTCGTTACATGGAAACTTGAAGTTTATAATGGAATGTTCCATCATTTCCAGGTAATTACAGCGCACAGGCACGAAAGGATTTCTTCGCGTACCATGCCTCCACCAAAGGCAAGAATATCGCTAAGTACGCTAAGTCCAAGAATAAGACGAAGCATCATCCGGTGAGCAAATCGTTCCTACGAAAGAACGATATCGAGAAGTGTTCGGCGCAGGAATACGAGATTATGAAAGTATGTTATCGATTTTGTTCCGCGATGCAATAATTTCCGATTTAAAACGTAGAAAAATTTAACGACGGTTTCTCGACGAAAAGCACTGCTCTGTCTTCTTGAGTTGCAAATAGATGACTGTATTTATCATTAATATTGTCTGACTGCATTCAAATATAGTTTTAATAAAAAAAATTACTAGGTTATATGAAACAGGAGCGAATTTGAATTTATTATTTAAGCTGCGATACGCGAATAACACTCCATCTTTCTTTCACTCTCATCAAATAATAATGATTAAAATATATAAATTCAAAATAATTAAATATTTTTAAGAGATCTTTGTAATTTATATGGCTTTCAACTGTGATTTATTTACATATATTACAATTATGTACAATTTATACATTTAGCATGTATAAAAAGCATCGAGATTTCTTCATATAAAATACAAACAAATTATATATAAAAGTATATGTCAGTCAAGAATATCTTTGTTAATTTATTTATAATTTTTTTGCAGTAATACTTTATAACAAACTGTAAAAAATTATTGAAACATAATCAGACTATGCTACATTTATTTATTCTGTTTATCCATCGTAGGACAACTTACTTCTATATAGTCACGCCAGACTAATGGCCGAGGATAATCACAGTAAGGAGTATTTGGTCAGCATCATGTTTTCTCACTACGACAGAAACAATGACGGTAATTTGGAGCGGGAAGAGCTCTTGCAGGTGATTTAACATTGAATATACTTTTCTTCGTGTAGTATTTCTTCATTAACGTTTTCTCTCAAGTTTAACTTAAACTGAAGGAGAAGTACTTGCGATAAGATTTATTTGATGGTCGTTATTTTAACGGCAGTAACACGATTTTTCCATTGCTCGAGCGTCTAGCGAATAAGCTTTAAAACTCTTTCGAACATTCAGATCGCCAAAGAAGAAAACATGGAAGAGCTATGTGCGGGATGCAATTTGAGCCACATGATCAGTTACGATGACACCGATAATGATGGCAAACTGAACGTTAACGAGTTCTACATGGCCTTTAGCAAGCTTTATAGTAAGCATCATTTGTGATTTGTTATTTATCGTGAGATTTATCTTTTACTTAAGTCGATGACAAAGATAAACTATGTAATTATGTTAATAATTAAAATGTATTCAAATTAATTTAATCTTTTAAAAAAAACTAATTTCTCTCTCTCTCTCTCTCTCTTTAATGTAAAACAAATTCTTCCAGCACAGATATTTGTTCTCGAAATTCATTCCATTATATCATTACTATTCTGACAATTTTGTAGGACAAATAATGTTCGCCGCGGTTAGTACAATTTAACGTAGTGATGAATTATTTTCAAATGATTTTCTTATGAAAATCCGTATTATAACGTTCTCAATGCAGGACGCATTGTCCATGGACAATGGTGTCACCGTAAATTGTCAGACTGCACACGTGACCGGCACAGTGCCATCGCGCATATATAAACGACCTCGAGGAATTATTATGCAAAGTTTGTACGATGGACGATCGTCCATTCAATTTGGCCAAAGTATAACGTACACATAATATATACGAGGATGGTTTTGATCTGTGCAGGTGTATCGGTGGTGTCGTTGGATAAATCCCTCGAAGTGAATCACATATCCGCACGAGTCGGGGACAACGTTGAGATTAAGTGCGACGTCACCGGAACACCACCTCCGCCTTTGGTTTGGCGCCGTTACGGCACGGACGTGGAAACCCTCAGCGAACCGGAGGTATTCCACTCGAACGAAATAATTCGATCTCTATCCTTCGCCGTTAGCCTTGTAAATACCGTAATATCGTCTATACATCAGACTACTATTTCAATTAACGTTACAAATATATATATATATA